AATTAGTGATTAGTAGTGTTAATTGATAGTGACTACAGTTTCTACTAGTGAATCAGGCGAAATCACTCTTTATCGAGAATCCATTTTTACTTACTTACTTACTTACGCCTGTTACCCCTCGTCGAGGAGCATAGGCCGCTCACTAGCATTCTCCATCCAACCCTGTCCTGAGCCTTCCTTTCCAGTTCTTTCCAGTTACTATTCAGCCTTTTCATATCGGCTTCTATTTCCCGGCGTAGTGTGTTCTTTGGCCTTCCTCTTTTCCGCTTCCCTTCCGGATTCCAAGTTAGGGATTGAGTCGTGATGCACATTGGTGATTTCCTTAATGTATGTCCGATCCACTTCCAACGCCTTTTCCTAATTTCCTCTTCAGCTGGAAGCTGGTTTGTCCTCTCCCATAAAACGCTGTTGCTAATAGTTTCCGGCCAATGGATGTTGAGTATTTTGCGTAGACAACTATTGATAAATACTTGTACCTTCCTGATGATGGCCGTAGTAGTTCTCCACATTTCAGCTCCATACAGCAGCACTGTCTTGACGTTCGTATTAAAGATTCTGACCTTGAAATTGGTTGAGAGTTGTTTTGAGTTCCATATGTTCTTCAATTGTAAAAATGCTGTCTATTGGCACTTGTTCCTCTTCCCAAATCTTCTTGAATAGAAGGTGAAGCATATTTGCAGTTATTTCAATGTCTGACTTCAGTGCTTCTGCTGGTATATTGTCAGGTCCTGCCGCCTTCCCACTTTTGATTTGTCTGATGGCCATCTTGACTTCTTCGATCGTTGGTGGAGTGACATCTATTGGAAGGTCAGTGTGCGTTGCTTCGATGTTTGGTGGATTCAATGGGACTGGTCTATTCAGCAGCTCCTCGAAGTATTCTGCCCATCTTTTCCTCTGTTCTTGAATCTCAGTGATTGTCTTTCCTTCTTTGTCCTTGACTGGTCTCTCTGGTTGGCTATATCTTCCTGCCAATTTCTTCGTTGTATCATATAGTTGTCTCATATTCCCTTCTCTTGCAGCTTTTTCCGCCGTCGTTGCTAGTTCTCCCATGTATTTCTGCTTGTCGGCCTTAATGCCTTTCTTCACTTCCCTGTTTGCTTCTGCGTAGTCTGCTTGTGCTTTGACTTTCTCTGCTCGTGTTCGGCTGTTGTTAATTGCTAGTTTCTTGTTCTTCCTCTCTTGAATCTTGTCCAGGGTTCCCATAGAGATCCATTCCTTATGATGCTTCTTCTTAGGACCAAGAACCTCCTGACACGTTGAAGTTAGTGCTTCTTTTATCCCTTTCCAGTTGTCCTCCATCGTAGTTTCTTGTTCTTTCAGTAGATCCTGTAGAGCCTGGAACCTGTTATTGAGAGTTATCTTGAATTCATTGAGCTTGTCAGTATCTCGAAGGAGGGCTGTATTGAACCTTTGTAGTGCTGTTTGTCCAGTTGTCCAGTCTTTCTTTAGCTTCAGTCTCATCTTGGCCACAACCAGGTGGTGATCTGAAGCTATGTCAGCTCCTCTCCGGGTTCTCACATCTTCCATTGATCTTCGGAATTTTTGTTGATACAGATGTGATCAATCTGGTTCTCTGTGGTGTGGTCCGGTGAGATCCATGTAGCTTTGTGTATACGTTTGTGTGGGAATATTGTGCCGCCTATAACCAATTTGTTGAATGCACATAGGTTTGTAAGTCTCTCCCCATTTTCATTTTTCTCTCCTAATCCATGTCGTCCAATTACATCTTCATATCCTGTGTTGTCCACTCCAACTTTAGCATTTAGATCTCCCATCAGGATGGTGAGGTCCTTTCGTGAGCACTTCTCTATAATTGATTGCAGCCTTTCATAGAACTGATCTTTATCATCGTCGTTGCTATCATTGGTGGGTGCATAACATTGGATAACCTTCATTGTGATCCCTTGCTTCTTTGTTCTGAATGATGCTTTGATTATCCTGAGTCCATGAGATTCCCATCCCACAAGTGCGTTTCGTGCTTCTTTGGACAGCATTAGAGCAACTCCCTGAGTGTGTGGAGCATTTTCCCCTTCGTGACCGGAGTACAGCAGCATCTCTCTTGTACCTAGCCTTTGTTGTCCAGTTTGTGTCCAATGGGTTTCGCTGATTCCGAGTACTGCCAAGTTGTATCTCCTCATTTCCATTGCTATTTGGCTGGTCTTTCCTGTCTCCCACATTGTCCGGACGTTCCATGTACCTATAAAGAGTGTTGCTCTGGTTGTTAGAAGGTGCATCGGTCTCGTGACTTCCGAAGAATTTCGGCTTTCATCATGAGACGTCATTATTCCTTTAACTCCCAGGGCAGAGTTTAAATGGTCTGAATTATTTTTTCTGGTTAGCGTTTTTTTAGCAAGTTAGCTTTTCTACGGGATGAGGTCGCTAACCCCATCCCCAACCCTACTCCTTTACCCGGGCTTGGGACCGGCAGTAACTCTGGAAGAGCTACAGGCGGAGTTAATCCATTTTTAGTTTGTAGTTATTTCTATTATCATCTGTACACATCATTTATTTCTGTTATTGATTTTGTGACAGTCTTGTTTTACAGGATGAAAAACCAAAATAACTTGTGGATTTTTTCAATAATGATTCAGCGAATATATTTTCTAACACTGACAGAATCGTGATATTAGTATTGAGATATATGGCATAGTGTTATGTGGTCACAGTTTGAAAAAGAAACATCCTAATAATGATTATACGTACTGCAGAATCATTGGAAGAATTATTACAAACAAATTACGGTTTTTAAAGTTAGTTTTTATCTTAAATGATTTCATTGATAAATGAGGTATTGAATTATAATGTTCCATATATTTAGGCAGATATCTTTAACTCAGTAAAAGGTAACCGATGGAAGCGTACTGTAAGATAAGAACTTATACTGTTTATTTATAGAAGTCTGTAATTTAGATGGGTCATAATACAGTATATTAACCTACTAAAAAAATATACCAGTGGTTTGTTTCCTATGTAGAATTATCATTTAAATTGACTACATTAAATGATGTTTGTTGAAGCTGTTCGAATTTACAAATTTTTACTTAGTCTTATTATATGGACTCTTCTAGAGACAATGCCTTCTTCATTCGATTGACTAAGGATCGATCTCATGTCTGAAGCTCTAAATTACATCGATAACGTAGTTCTATTTAGTTGACACTGAAAATCTTCAATCTTACGAGTAACGACGTAAGAAGTCTTAAAGTGTATTTCACACGCTTTAAGTACTTGTATGAACCAATACCTAACCCATTCATTAGGGAGTTGAGGAATCAAGTGCGTTGAAGACTTCACTTAACTTGGAAGCCTCGACCCTGATGGATTGGTAACTAATGAGATCAGTATGTAAATACAAGCATTCCACTTAGTGGTTACGTTTACACTCCTTGTGGTGCGAGCGAGAAATCTTTCTACCTAACATGAGGCTAGTATATTGTGTAACAGTTTCCTTTGTACTGTTTTAAGACTAGCTTTTGATCATGGACCCCTTTGAAGTACTGCTCACATACTGGTGGAAGCTCCAAGTAAGTAATTTTGAAGTTAAATATAATGTACAGGTAAAATATGTAAAATTGACTAGTAAGGCTTCGAAATTTGCATCGACTGAGTTGGTTAGGACACATATATCATGAAAAAGCTTTAGTTCATCCTAACGATAGTCAGGATAGCACGAAAGAAGACTATGGGTTGCCAGACTACGCATATGAAGTCACTGACTGTTAATGAGAGCCACATGGGGAGATTAAACTTTACCACTATCTAGGTCATTTGAGCAAGTTACACACAGAAAACTTTGGAAAGACATCAGTAACCAGTGTATATGAAAGAATATACAAGCGTAAAGAGATTTTTACTGATCACGTGTTCATTTAGAAAATAAAACTGAGTGATTAGTGAGATAAACTTACATGACAATATTTTTTCAGGTTATCACATCTAATCCCAGTACATAAAGAAAAAAGTTGACAGAATTGTAGGTACATTATTAAATACGTAGGGAATTGAGGAAGAAAAATTTCTCACTGATGAATCACTGAGTGACAGCCAACTTGATGTATGTTTAATACTTAATGTTGAAAAATTCTGTCGATCAATTTGGAGAACGGTCATTAGTTTAACTGACTCTACGTTTAGTGCACTATTTTTGATACTAAGTGAATGAAAGCTATTGACACCAAGCCTTATACCTATATTGACACTACTTAGCATTGAGTATCTGTAATCTTGATGGAACTGATGGTGCTCGTGAGATTTGAATGAGCTTTATTAACTGTCAGCAGCATGTTATCACCATCTGAACTGCCACTGACCCTTCAACAGAAAAGAGATATTCACACTGATTTATCACTGAGTACCAATCAATATCGTATTCTTTAGTACATCATACTTATATAATTCCAACACGGATTTGCTGACAACGTAAGTTCAACTAAAATTGAATATACATCTTGTTGGCAAATGTCAGCTAACACTAAAATTATATCAAGGGCTTTTCATCGGCTATCTCCAGCTACCACATATTGAAAGAGTTTCATTATATTCGAGACTAAATAGATGATTTATAAGAACTCTCGTCTAAATTAGAACGAATAGTTTCACAGTATTTGAGCGCCGAGTTGAAGTAAGACATTAAATAGGAATAATATATTTGTAAAATCTCAGCGAATGAATTTTTTAAAATTAAATCTAAGGTTTCGCCTGGCAATCTGGTCCAAGCGTTTTCAAGGAATTATAATCAAACATCAAAATTATCGAATATAAAGCTTGGACCAGATTGCCAGGCGAAACGTTAGATTTAATTTTAAAAAATTCATTCGCTGAGATTTTACAAATATATTATTCCTATTTAAATAGATGATTGCAGTTGCAGCCAATTTTTATTTTACTCACCAGTGGTTTTTAGTCACTAATTTCTAAATGTAATCATATGTTCAACTTGTAAATCAAATTGTATATGAAATTTAAATAAACTCAATGAACAAATAAATGATAAACCTTACTTTTGAACTTATACATTCACCATACAAACATAAATGTGTATCACATTTATCTTTTTGTTTCAAACAATTATCATATGGTAAAGACAAATCTCTTGTATATCCTATATTGCACGTACAATTGTAAGTTAACATATCATTCATTGGATTGCATTTATTAGTTGGATTTAACAGAGCTCCACATGCTTCATATCCTGATGGTATATATGGACTAGCGTCTAATGGATTCATTTTCAGTATTGTATCAGATATACAAGCGTCGAATGGTTGATTACAGTCATACCCAGTGTAACCAGTTTTACAAACACATGTAGCTACACCTAATTATAAATTTAAATTATATATATATATATATATATATATATATATATATATATATATATATATCAAAGTGTTAATCGTAAGTTGTGGGATACTGATCGAACAGTTATGTATTATTCCACTACATTACAGAACTAACAAATGGAAAGTAAACGAACTTTACGAAGACAAGAATACTAGGAAGTTAATTGACTTGTGACGAATACAGCTAATTTTGTGGAATAGCAAATAATGTGTATTATCATTGATTTCTTCGACCACATAAATAAATGAATGCTACAGGTTTAAACCGGTTAATATAGCAGTGTACAACAGTCATTAATCTGATTCTTTATTGTTCCTTTTTCTTGATTCAGTTACTCTAAGACTTCCTCCATTTCATGCCGCCAACAGAAACTAATGTTAATAAACCGATCTAAGGTCATTGAAAGCTTAGATTGTTTCTAAATCTCAATGAAATGCAAAAATCTCCGAAACCCCATACTGATAACTAATGCATTACATAAATGCAGATGATGGCCAGATGAATACGATTTATATTCTATCTAATTCAGTCGGTTATGGTGAAAACATTATTGATTAATTTGCCATCAAAGTTACTTATTATAGTTATTAAGATCATGGACCGATAAATTTTAAACCACCATTAAAAACCGGGAAACATTTTAAAGCCGTTTTTCCTAGTGGTCTAGAAGTTAAGCGTTCGAACGAGACCAAAGGTCCTGGGCTCAAGTTCCATATCCGGGATCGTGGATGCGCACTGCTGAGGAGTCCATCCAGTCCTTTCAGATTTTAATTGGTGGTCTAGCATTGATCGGTTCATGATCTCAATTAAAACTCAACAACCTCCACAAGCCTATACTAATAACTTATTATATGTGACACGGTATGGGGTTTGAATGCAAATTACTGTCAGCGATCATGTTACTTTGATATGACTGTCGGTAATCGATTCTGTTCATAACATAATTCCATAAATGAATATGACTTCGAAGATGAATTTAATCTAGACTAACGTCAGTTGGAGAAACAGTGACCACCAAAAATTGTTTGACAAGTATTTTACCCATGTTTTGAGCAACCTACTGTACAGTCAATACTTATACGTCCCAGATTTATTCTTGTGTAGGGTCATGAATAAAAACTGTGGAGTAATTTAAGACTAAAAGGAAAGTCTTTCGATATTTTCCAGTAATCATGGGTTTACAAGATAATATTAGCTAGTGAGGAAAATTCTCGACATATACAGTAATCTACACAAAAACCAGCTAAATTAATAAACGATACTATTCTATAAGATAATACTAACCAACATAAAGTTTTAATATACCACAGTACTTAAGTTTTGTTCTTATGGTATGAAGCTTTTCCTCGTCTTCTCTTCGAAAATCCCTCGCTTAATGTTAACACTGGTCGTTTGTCCGTTTACCACTCTCATTTAGTGCTTTACATATATTTCCTATAAAAGTGTCTATGACGATACATTGTCCATTTATAACACCTGTGTCTCATAACCATGTAACAGAAACCAACAAGTCGGTTTACGAAGTAATACTTTTTGAATGATAACGTTTATATTCTTTATCGTACTGTGAATAGAGCGATTGAATGAAAGCTCTAAATAAATACTTCTGTTTTAATTTATAGCTTCCTTCAGTCATTGTTGAGTTATATGAAGTAATAAAAATGATGAAGGATTGTATGGTAAACTAACATTTCAAGTATGATTTTAGCGAATTATTCCCTAAAGTTATTACTTCATTTGAATTGCTGATCCTTCACACATTTATACAAGCAAAAGGTCATACGATCATTTTATTGAGTTCTTCAAATCCTTTTCCATGTATTTCTATTAGAGCAGATCAAGCAATTTAAGTACATTTTTTCCACTTCACAGATAAAGTGGTGTGGAAAATATTTGGTCATTAGACATTTTGTAATTGAAGAAGTAATTCTGCAATAGTAGACATAGAATCAACCAATTATATACTGATGTACAGTTTGAGAATTTATTTACACAAACAACTGACTTGATTCCTACCTCATTGGAGGACCTATCTAGGTTTAAGACCACTTTGGTTGATAGCAGCCAACAAAACAAGAATAGTAGGAGTACCACAAATCACCTACTAACCAAGAAGCACTGAGACTCTTTAATGAAACTAAGAAATGAGGAAACTTTGATCATAACTGATGTGTGGGCGAGTCAGACATTAGATAGGATGACAGGTGTTATATGTGTTATATATATTCCCCTATCCTTATTATGTGTTGACTGTTATTGACTGTTCTTTGTGTCGGATTTCGGTGTGGAAATATATTGACGTTATAGTCAGGCTAATCTCGTGTTCTTGATCTGAGTTGTGTTGAAGTCCTGTAGAGTAGACACTGGGTGGGAATCTAGTGTAGATATTCGTCTAAGGTAAATTAACGTCCCACATACGTGTAAAAAGTGAAAGGACTGTTATAACAAGAAACCCTAGAGTTATAACAAGTATCTTACAGTTTATAACAATAACCAAACCTGATAAAGGAGGAGGTATAGTCCTGATGAACAAAAAGGATTACATTGAAAAGATGGAAGAAATGCTTAGTGATCCTAGCAAATTTCAAAGTTACCAGTCACTTCGATATCAACAAAAAAGTAGAAAACCAATTAGCAAATTCTCTTAAGGATCTAATGAAAAAGGGAATAATTACACCAGAGATTCATGATTCCATTAAACCGACTGGATCTTATACACCACGACTATACGGTTTGCCTAAAGTTCATAAACCAGGTCTTATTCTGCTCCCTGTTCTAGACATGTACAATTCCCCTTACCACAAAATTGCAAAGTGGCTAGTGCGAATGTTAGAGCCCTTGCACAAATCAGTAGTTAGAACGAGTGTAAAAGATGTTTTCGACTTCACTCCCAAAGTGGAAAATATGAATGTTAGTATGAAAAATACGTTCTCACTGGATGTAGTATCCTTGTTTACCAACGTATCACATATTGAGACTATTGAGTTCATATGCGAGCAATTATCAGGAAACCAAATCAATATTGGCTTGCCTGAAGATTGTCTGAAAGAATTGCTCTTAATATGTACGGTGAATGTCCATTTTGTCTTCAACAGTTCTTATTATAGACAAATAAACGGGATAGCCATGGGCTCACCTCTAGGCCAGATTCTCGCTGATCTCTTCTTAGCTAAGCTAGAAAATGGCCCACTTAAGGAGGCTATTAAGAAGCTCGATCTATACTGCCGCTACATAGACGATACATTCATTGTCGTAGATCAGAACACCAGTAAGGACTAACTACTAGAACAGTTCAACAGTGTACATCCAGCGGTTAATTTAATTTTGTTTATAAGTTACTACTGTTGAATATGTAAACTTTTAATCAGTGAAATGAAATGTTTAACCCTGCTATACTTGTTTAAGTTTAAAACAAATATAATGCTAGTAACCATGATGGAACTGTTAGATAACTATTCACTTATATGAAATGTGTAGGACGGATTCATATTAAATATTGTATAACTTTTTATATTACTTTGTCCTTAGGTTAATAAAGTTTAAATGATATTCATATTGTTTGTGATTGTTCAGTCAAAAAGATACTGATTATGGTTAGATATTTCACAAGAAATTATTGCCCTAATTCACTAAAAATCCATAAACACTGATACACATAATCCTCTGTAATCATAAAAATACATTAACAATGATCAAAATAAAGTGGAATTTCTTCAAAAATCTCTCTGTTTTACCTGATGTTTGATTAAGAAAACAAAATTCAGTTGTCTCATGGTTACAGAACAACTTGCATGTATCAATTATGGTACACGATAATGAGTCCTTTTCCCATTTGTATCCCTTAAATTAAATTAAAATAAATGTTGAAAATAGCTAAATAAATATATTTTCAAGCTGAAACCTGCCATAAATTGAACGAACTATAAATTAAATTCTAACTCGGTTATCAAAAGGCACTGTGGTTATTGTAAGACTCGGGAGACATTAGTTAAATCCTGTGTGAGGTACTGTATGTTAACTAATGAGGTTTCTCAATGGTTATGCAAACGATATTAGTCCCAGATGAGAAGTGTCTTTGAATTGTACAAAATTTCCACACAGATACATTAGGAAATGTATAAAAAACTGATCAGTCAGAATGAGAATTCTTTCCTGAATCAACAGTACAAAAGTATAGAACGTAAATTCTGTTTAACCAACAGTTTTTATTACTTATCTTTACTGAATTCCTAAATTTTCCGAGTATTAAAATTTGAAAAAAATATGCTTGAACAGGAAGATTATTAATAGAGGAGATTACCAAAGAAAAGTAAATGTCCATGCCTAATATTTAAACCGAAAATGTGTTAAATAGTTTCATTTGTTAGACAATAACACCTTTATTGGAAGTTGAAAAAAATTTAATGTCATTTTACAAGTAGTTGCATATCCACTATCAGTAGCTTCATCACCCAACAAATTACCCCTCATCCTGTAGTCATATAGTGTGTCTTCTCTTGTATAATTAAATGTTATACTTCACGCAATAATAAGTTAATAGTCAGTTATATAGCTTTTTGATATCCATTTAAACTGAATCCATAAAAAGAGTCACCTGACGACCTCCAGACGTTGATGTACGCAAGTCGACAAGGATAACTCCACAACCATAAACAATTCATTACCTAATTAAGATATTTAACACATTTCAAAGACAGATAAATTCAAATAACATACATATCAGACAAACGAAATGCACAGTGGCTAAATAGATTTCTTAATTTTTAAGATCGCATTTTCAAACGCGACGTTAACTACTTAATTCTTAATTTTCACCATAAGGGGTTCTGTGTTATCGCTTAGGGTAAATGAGAAATGCTTCCACAACCCAAAAATTCACTACAAGAACTTTCTTAGTTTATTTGTGAAAGTTATTGAGCTGATGTTTCTTGAAATAGATGGTTAAACGTTGTGTCTTTAGGCTACCAGTGTTAGTATAGATAATGAAAGCTATTGGTTAGTGATTTAAGAACTTAAATAAAATCTTATCTTATTTTCAGTGCAGTGTTTTACTTTATCAGATTAATCAGAATGCAAATATTAATTTGAAATCAATCAACACGCTACTCTGATGTATAAACTAAATACCATGTATAATAAAATGTTTTTTAAACAAACCGATTCACATAAACATTCATAATCATCTTTATGATAGCCACGACGTTTACAAGAACCCCCAACTGCATTTTGAATATAATGACAAGGTCTTCGCTTACATGGATTTGGACATACCTGTGTTAATTTGAAATACAGAAAATTTGAAAATTGTTTTCATAAGGCTATAAGTGTGATTATTAACTGTTTTAATTATTATGCATTTTAAATGTTTCATTAATATTCGCTTTCACATGCTAGTGGTTGGGTTCAATGAAGCCTTCCAGAAATTCATATTTTTCAGATAAGGATTTATTAGACCATTGAAATGACCTCATTCTGACAAGAATTAATTTTAATAAAAAAGTCAGCGCAGCTAAATTTTCTTCATTTTCAAATCTAAACATGTTTCAAGGTAAGAAGTGCTATTATTATCATTAATATTAGCTGATCCTTAATTTAATCATCAGTTGATGATACATATTTCTGGTATATCAATGAGCAGAAATGTGAATTTCTAACATTCCAAGACTTAGTGTAAACCAATTCTTAGGGGTAAATAAATAACTGAATTAAATTTATATAAGTTTAAATAATACAAAGGAAACAAAGCAGAATATCTTTAGGACAGTCCAAATCAAAATAGGTCCGATCATGTCAACGTCATGTTGTTTTTTTGGTCAAGATGATTCTGTGCGAAACACCACTGTATGCATTTGCATTTAAGGTAATGGGTATGGAAAATGGTGTAGTTAGAACTTAGGTTAGGTTTATGTGTGTCTTGTGGGGAACGAAACAGAATGAAGTATAGATGTTTGGATAAACAAACCAGGTTTGATGAATAGTCAGGCCTCCTTTTTATTAAGGGTAAGGCGATTTAACATCATATGAAACCATCAAACCTCGGATTTAGCTCAGATATGTAGATGACACATCTGTCATTTAAAAAATCCTTTTATAAATTTCTCTAAACTGATAAACACCTCAGTTCATATCAAATTCACTTTTAAAAAAGATGAGTATAGTGAACTGCTATTCTTGGTCTGTTTAGTTGAAAATAATTCAAATGGGATTCCACATCATACAGAATATCAAAAAACAACAATGACGATTCAAAAGTTTGAATAATGTGGGATTATTACAAAACTTGACTAACGACGAGAGTTTTATCCATGAAAACACCAGTTCAGAGAATAACAGAACTGCATAAAAAAGGAAACTTACGTACTGAAACTCACTTCTAAGTCAGGAATAGCTTCCTTTGTATCACCATAAAGATGACATATGGTATATATGTATATTAAACTCATTTGATCTATTGTTCTTAAACGATAACATCCACCACGTATAATTGGTGTAAAGATGTGTTTATCTGATGATTTCTCAAACTCGTCACCAAATATTTGTTTTAGCAAGTGTGGATTATAAGAAGTAGGTTGCATCAATGCTAAAAAATAAGCCCATGAACATCTTGGATGTTTGGTTTCATCACATAATGTGACTATGTGAGGCCAATTCACATCAGCCAAGTACATATTTCCATTATGCGGAAACATATCTGATTTAAAATAAGATGTCCAGATATATAGTAGAAGAAAAACTTGATTGAAGTAACTTATTTAACTTACAGTTGAATAGTCTGGTGAAAATAAATTGGAATTAGTTAAAATCAAATAGCAGATTGAGATAATCAAATATTTTTCGTGTTTGTGAATATTAAGGTCTTGATAGTGGTATGCATTAGACTAAGTTTGATGATAGCATATGCCTCAGTGATTTTTCCTATTGTGAACTATTTCTATTTCGTTGAATATCTTCCCCTAAATTCTTTAAATTATTAACACAAAGAAATTCTCTTCGTTGATAATGATATTCAGTTCTTGTAAAGTCAGAATAAGTGTAACATTAACTTTTGTAAAAACATATAATTCATGGATAAACAATGGTAACATGATTACACCTCGTATCTGTTCTAAAAATAGCATTTTGAACTTTCATCGAAATAACCGATTAGCTTATTCTGATAACATTCAGTATGATTTGTGATCCCCAATACCCATGTGATTACTATCCAAATATTCATTTTCATAGACAACTTGAGCAATTTAATGTTTGTTGGTGTGCTATATAACTTACAGTCAAATGTATCCTACAGTAATATTTAAATAGTCACTATCTGAAGTAAATATCAGGTTTTTTAAAAATGTCTTCCGATTTTCATTTTTCCACATGCTTAGTGCTTCCACGTTTTTATATATATATATATATATATATATATATCAGAGTGAGCCTAATATATGAGGTCGCGACAACTTAAGTTATAATACTGAAAGTTACGGAAATCATTAGTATTTGTTTAAGTGACTTTTATCTTCACCAAAAATTGGGTCATGGGTCTTGTTATTTTTAAGATAAGATTTATTTAAAAGTGCCCTAGATGCTGTAGTGAACAAGAACACGAGTGGGGACAATCGAGTGTATCTGACACGAAAATTACAGACCATCTCATTAAAATCTCACAACCATACAGTAAACAGTTAATTTGCAAGCTATCAATCAATTGTCTCAATCTTGACTGTTCCTTCTGCAAATATCAGTCCATTGTCTCTGATTTCAATGTTCATGCATTTTCATACCGATTGCGTTCCGTCTCTGTTCTTTCCTTATCGATCTTCTACTGAAATACATTCTATGCCTGACCATCGTTATGTATTACTTATGTGGATATAAGTAACCTACATCACAATACAATTGCTCATAAACGAATATATTATTCGCACAACACCAACGTGCAAAGAAGACATATGGGTTTATTGTGCCTTTGTATTAGCTAGTTCTGCTTTAAGATCCATCTTTCTTCAATGAATCCCATAGATCAAGATGTCCAGCTTTTAATATAATTAAATTCCGATACATGGTACATGATTTTTCTTGGTTTAACAGTCTCCTAATTTTGATTATATAACCACTTTTGTCCATTAATTTTTGTTTGAAAACAAACTGGGATATTCTGCATTAATTCTTGTTGAATCTGTCTTTTTTCAGCTGAAAATGTGGAGATGTTCATCTAATTTATAAATCTGAGAATGATGATCCATATTAAGCTAAAATCCTATTTTTCAAAGTGACATTTTTAGAAACTTAAGGCAGTAAAACCAAGATTACTTTCCTAAGGTAAACCCATTTCCCGTAAAACATATAGAGCTGGATTTTAGCCTGATGAGAGAAGTAAGTACGTACTTCCAGAAAATTTGCAAATAAGAGATACATTTAATTTCTATGTATCGGTTATTTTAATCTTTCTACTGATGTTCAAGACTACCATTGATCAGTCTCTCTTGACATTTGTGTGTCCTGTGCGAATCGCCTCAATACTCCCATTAAGACAATCATTTTTAAGCTAAATGGACAACACGATGGAGTTTGAAGCGAACGGTACTGAGTTGGAGTCTAGGAGTGATCATCAACTCTAGGATGCAGATACATCTAGCTGACGAGTCTCAAATAAGACAACAGGCGCGCTCTGGATTTCACTGATCGCCGCCATGCGTCTCTTCTTAAAAGAGAAAAATTCATTCAATATACCCTGACAGGTATTTTAGTAGTATCATCTAGTAATGAAAACCATGTTCAAACAACGATTTGACCATGTATGAGTGAGCTACATTTGACTACAATTTTTAGAACCAACTGGGTTTGAGGTAGGTGCAAAGCAATTTCAGTAGGTAACTGTAGAACTTAAAGTCACTCATATCAGGAGTGGAAGGGTAGCCTAGTGGTGACATGAAATAATGATTGTTCTAGATCTTGCCCTTATATTAATATGGAGACGATACTATGAGCTTTTGCTTCTTCTTCTTTACTTGTCTACGTTTCATATTATTTTTGTATATACATATAACTTATGCATGATGAGTATGGGAAGATCTAAAGATTCATTACAAAAGGCATTATTATCGTTTGTTGTCATATGAGATTATCTTTTAGTTGAGAAATGGTGCGTGTTCCAAATGTGCCTCACCGCTTTTGTGAGGGCTTGATCTGACTCCAGTTTGATCGTATGAATAGTTGGTGTCATAAAATACACCTTGTCTATCCTCGTATGTAATACATGATTTAATCCATGCTGGTGAATAACGGATTTAAATACGTCAAATACGAGAATGGATTTTGAATATATGTATTTTGTACATTCATTGACCTGGACAGGAAATCAGAGTGATGGAGAGAGAGAGCGAAGTGAAAATGACACGCATTAGAGATGACGCGTAAGCTAACTCACTTTTATCAAGCGTTAATCAATATTTATAGTCAGAAAAAATAAATTACAGACATGGAATAAATAGGATAAGAAGTTTACACACACATACGCTCATATAGAAAATAGTCAGGGTTAATAAGTGAATAATTAACAAGGTGAAAACATGACTCATGATGAATTGGCTTGATCAGGAGCTAGAATAAGGGTATATGGGCTTAACATATCAACCGACTCTACAATCTAAGGGAATTAAATTTGCTTCTATGTTAATGGACCTTAGTTGAGTTCATGTTTGATGTCAGTTTGGAATTATGAAATATAGTCTCTTAGTTAACTTCGCATTTATTCATCCGCTTAATCACGTTAGTATGTAACGGAATAGAATAGGTCAAACAGAAGCGTTTCGGAAACACATTTCATTCATCTGTTAATGCAGACAGATTATAAAAGAAACAAATATCGGAGAAGACAAAACCTCAGTAATCAAAATACCACTCGTTACAAGCATTAATAAAATCCGAAATACTGAATAAATAGTGTGAGCAAGAAGAGAACGATAAGTGTATGGACAAACACAAGTACACAACAATAAAATTAACAAGGAAATGAATAAAAAAAGATGAATCGAAGTCACAAGCTGTTTGAATTAAAGTTTGTACAAAACCTAGAATGCGATCACACAGAAACCATAATAAAAGATCGCTACACCATCACAACAGCAGTAGACCATTATTATTTTATCACTTTTTAAATCGTACTAACTAGTTTGACCTTATTTATAAGGTTTCTAGAGTCTTCGGAAACGAAGATACTAAAAAAATTCAAAATACAAAACGTTTTGCAAGTTTAATTTTCGAAACAGTACCAAATCACTAGGGTTTCGAATTCACTCCTCGATATTGATTACAAAGTGAAGGAAGGTTAAATATTAATCCTTAAATATTGTAATAAATCCATCACGTTATCCCAATCAAACTAACAAATAAGATATCAGTGTTATTTTTTTAGGTACTAAACTGATATAATTTAAATTCAGTGATAATGAATGATGAATGTTATTTAACATAAGCCACATAAATCCTAACTACATTTAAATGGGTTAACCAGACAATTATTTTTCGTGACGAGCTAATGCGAATATGAATGGCAACTGGATATTGAGAAGCTGAAAGCTTTGACGGAAAACAGAGAGTAGACATAGGTTTTGAACATCGTTCAGTAGCTCAGAGACTAAAGTGCCAACTATGGAATTTGAAGTTGTTACAGAATAAATAGATGGGTTGTGACTAGGATTGATGTAGAGGACACCCGTTTCGTCTTGTTTGGGAGTCTGGAGTTGCTGCGTTCTATCTCCGGTGAAGTCACGATTTCTAAACTGTTTCAGAAATCAAAAGAAACCTTCGAACTTTAAATCTCTATTGAGTCAATTTAACAGTAGTTCAATGCAAAAATCTACGAAACCCCATGATCCGCACACTACATACCTTCATAAGTATCCCGACTCCAGTAATGATACCATATAGTAGTAGGTATGATGGAAGACCCATAAATACCAGGTGGAAAACCATTTTCATATTCTCTGTATTGTGGATTATGCATCTGTTGAAATGTTCGAAATCCAATCGTCTCTTGTATTGAATATCCCTTCTCATCTTGTTCAGTGATAAAATCATAAACTCGTTCTGATTTGTTGGCGGAAGTAATCACAAATAAAAATACGCTGACAGAACATATGATTTTATCCATCGATTCGTATATAAATCGTAAATTCAACTCACACATGTTAGCTATCACTGGAAGTCTGTTAAATCAATAGTATCAATTTGAAAGCTATTGACATTGTATTTAAACAGATCGTTAATTTCTTTTTTTAAACAGAAATTGCGACTAATAATTGAAAGTTAGTTCCCAATAAGGAATACGATTAAATGAGTAAATAGGTAACATGCAATTAATTCGCTTGGTGCTGTTTACTTGCATTTTCCCATTGTTATTTAGGACTGTAATTGATCAATATCTTGTTGGCATGTGTGCTTCCCGTGCGGACTGCCTCGATGGCGTATGAAGCGAACGGTACTGGGTTCGAGTCCCAGAGTGAATATCAACTCTGAGGTGCAGGGGTAATGCCGAGCTTCGCTAATGGTTCACCTCGATAACCTTCATAATAAAGATCTTAACGGTGCATAAAATCAGAAGGCAAAGAGAAGCAGCAACTACAGTTTTATTAACTGATGACGTAGGCCAGAAAGCTATAAGCACATGAGCAAATAGCAGCGAGCGAAGCATAAATGACACGCATTAGAGATGACGCGTAAGCCAACTCACTTTTATCAAGCGTTAATCAATATTTATAGTCAGAAAAATTTAATTACAGACATGGAATAAATAGGATAAGAAGTGTACATACACATACGCTCATATAGAAAATAGTCAGGGTTAATGAGTAATTGACAAGGTCAAAACATGACTCATGATGAATGTGGGGATTGGCTTGTCCAGAAGCTAGAATAAAGTACATGAGTTTAACATATCAACCTACACTACACAGGTACACCTAGCTGACGAATCCCAAATAGGACGAAACGAACGTCCTGGATCCCAATGCTAATCACTATCCATATTTGCTTAACATGCAATTAACTGATAATATGGACGGATGTTTATATAATTACACAAGACCCGGTTGATCTTCCGTGACCGATTAGCATAGTTCACAAGCAATCTTCGTTGGGCATAGCCACTTCCATAAATTAAGGTTCCACTCGGTTTATCTTAAGCATTCTACATGGAAAACCGACGAATATAAGACGTAACCTAGAGCCTTTTCACTATCTTTAGGGAATGCAGTCCTGAGGAAATTCTAATGACTGTTACAATTAATACGTTATCTAATAATCCGTTTTCTTTTTGCTGTGTCGATTACTTAGTTCGTACAGTCGTATTTATGGCTAGTTTCTACAAATAGTAGTTCACAATAAAGCAAAGGCGTGTCTCGCAATTCACGAAGGTTATCAAGATCAAGGAGGCTATTGAGTTATTAGTTGTTCAGGAATGTAGAAAAACGTTACGCAACGACCTAGACGCTCGTGGAAAAATGATAAGATGAAGGGAGTTTATAAAAGAAAAATAAGTGTCTACTTAGTGATTATGGAAAACAGAACACCCACAGACTTTATTATGAAATACTTGTAAAAACCAGCAATAAACATGGCCGGACAGGATATGACCCAAAAGGAAGTTATCTTCGGTGATTTTTCTCCAATTTTCGGAGGTATGATAAGTTTTTTTGATTTTATTGGTCAAGGCATATTTAAAACAATCACGCTAGCTAACAAAACAAGTAACAGCTTTATTCAAGTTGAAAGGATGTCGTTGACAAAGACCCAAGTCAATCACTAAATTTGAAGATAAACCTAACCAACAAAACATGTGATCCACCGGCTGAAATATTATTGAACTACCGAAATTCGGCTTCTTGATGGTATTATGAAACCATAACTTAACCAAATCTGAGTTAGAACAGGGGACTTTTAATATTCTATCTTCCAAACTCCGAGAACCGATTTACATCTAAACTACCCTCATCTTATTCCATGAAACCAATAGAATTTATGCGTAGTATTCGGATGTTTTATGCTTAAAGTCACATAAATCCCTGCAGTCTGCCATCACTATTGATTACCATCGTCACCAAATTCAATTCGGCTATTCTGTATTACGCCTCTTGCTTTTTAGATATCAAAATCACAACTAGAACAACTCCTTTTTCCGCTCCCTTGAATATTTCCGTGGTCAAATCAGTTCGTACTAAATAAACAGTTACATGCTATCTAAACTGAAAGTAGAATTGTAAGCACGTAAATTTCTCGTTAACATTTTATATTGATTGGATTTAAATGACTGGATGAAACGAATTCAACTGAATACTTATCGTAGTAAGAATACCTACTAAACAACTGCAACATGAACATAGTAAACACGCACCAACAAGTAAAAAATGTCTCGTTACTTAGCCAACCAGAGAGGAATCTGGATATTTCGAGAAGATCGTTAACGCGGGAGAAAAGCACTTAAGAGTCCACTGCCCCAGTATTACTAAAGTCAACGTCTCCCAGCTCATTTTGCAAAGTCCGAATGTTTGAGTGAATTCCCTGAGTGCTTTGTCTAGCAGATGAATACAAATCCTATCACCGAATTGCACTAGCTGGAAACTTTTCTTTCCATAAACTAACTATCAATGGATAAAGAACAAGCCGTTAATATACATCATGAGAGCTTTGTAGCTCTTGCTATATTATATCGTCCATTTAGCACCATCACGAGTGATGCGTTTCTCAGCACACATTGATGGTAAATTTACTGGCATAAAGTGAGTGAGCTAGATTTTATGGGAAACTCTCATCGATAATCAGTAACAGTGATGGTATGATTTTAAAACCCTTGAGTCTGAACTCAACATGAATATACGAAGGCGAGTCCCAACTAAATCTTATGAGACGGGGTTTTAATCACCCGATAATTACTCTATGCGCATCATACTCAGAAGTGTTTAAATCTCGCCATACACCCATCGTCCATCGCCATGGGAGAATTATTGCTAGGAATTTGTCGCTTGGTTGAGAACGTATAGTACGTAGTTCCGAATCCAACCGAAAACACGGACGCTCTCTTCAAGTTGACCTTATTGTTTATATAAACTTGTCAACTGGTCCATATGCAGATGGAATCTGCAAGTTACACAGCAAATAAAACCTGGATCTGACAGTCCAAGTTGTGCGAGAAATTAACCTATCGCAAACATGGTATACATACGAAATACAGTAGGGAAAGGATTGAGTTGTATTTTTATCGTGATTAAACAGTAAGCAGTTCTTATATTGATTCAATACGAATCTCAATCAAAGAAAACAAACTGGTGAATCAGTTCACTTTTAGAAAAATTTAGTTGAATTACCTAGTGATATCTTTGAACTAAGTTGTTCTCTGACAACTGTTGAATAATTTAGTATTAGCGTAGAGGTTTCCAGAAATACCTACGAATTTATACCACACTTTTTATAGAAACCTGGCGCGGCACACTCTTTAAGATAGTTTACATTTTAAATGAACCCTACATAACCTAACGAACATAAGGTACTGAAGAAGCGCTCATATGATTTTTTCAAAATAAAGTCTTACAAAGCAAAAGTCAATATGCTTTTAAAGGATTCTTGGAATATTTACAGTACAAACTTGAGTTTTAAATAACAAAAATTATTTTTATTTACATTGTATACAGTGTATAATCGCAGTGTGAACAAAAACCACTTCACTGGGTTGGATTAGCTGATTCTGTTGCGGCAGACATACGTTCGGTAATAAATGGGTGTTGCAAAGCTTCATTCAAAGAAATACGACGAGTGGGATCCAACATTAAAGTTTTCTCGAGAAGATCGCGAAACTGTGTTACTTTGCGGAAGATTGGTTCACTTAACTTTGACTGACCAATAAGATCTGTCATTAGGTCTCTTGTTGGTTGTAAATTACGAATTACCGTCATTTTCTCCTAAAAAGAAATAAGCAACATATATACACGATTAATAACGGGTACAAAAGCGTTTTCATTCCAATTCAAGAAAATTTCGAACTTTTTTTTCTATTCGACATATAACTAAATTTCCAAAGATGGATGGTGGCTAGCATTGAAATCTAGGACGCGCGTTTCGTCTTATTCGATAACATTTTATGTAAACGAATACCCCGGAGGGAGTATTAAGGTGGTTGAGAGATCACATAAACAAAATAAACATCGGTAAATTATTTAAAAACATACTTTACATATCAGACTTTCAAAACTACTGAATATTGTTTAAAAGCCAGGAGATATGAAGAACAATGAAATGGTTGACATTAATTTATCTGAAGTCTTACAAGTATTTGATTTTTAGTAAAAATAAAAACAGGATATGAGGGTTGCGAAGTACAACCAACAACAAAAGTTTTCATTACTAGGTTGAAAACCTAAATAGCGTTGACAGCACAGACAGTACCTAGCTTGTAAAAATCTGCAACGGAGTTAAGGTAGACCAAAATTCAGTATTTGTAAAAACTAAGATACGAAAATAATCTCTCAGTGCATGAAATTATTGAAAAGGGTGGAAACAATAGTCGTATTAACTGCCTGATCTGATTAGCTCCAAAGATTTTACCTGATAAGTGAGACAATATTGTGTCACCAATTCGCAGCCATTTATCCTAGATGTTACATAGTTAGTAAACAGTGAATTTTTTAAATGTCTAATCTCATGCGCAATTCAATGTTAAGACTTAGCATAGATGGTGTAATATCATATTAGCACAAATCATTGGCCGGCCAGAAACACAAGTAGCCGCATTTATTCCAGGTAAACGCGCCAAAATGGCAACCTATATGTTAGTCATTTATTGATAAAAATAAAGCAGATTTAGACAGTGTGAACAACTGAAAATTCAATAGTAGAACTTGGATATACTTGTATGGGAAGCGATAAAACCATTTAACTTAATAATATTAGTGCAAGAACAACATCAACACATGTACGGGATTAAAATGCAAGTGATAGCTTTTAAATTTATAAACACAGATCTTTGCATAAGTCAGCAAACCTTTTGTGTTACTTTGTCCACTTCATGATAGAGAAAATTGCACTGTTCATCAAAATGCTGTGCGCGAAACATTCCACGGCGGATCACGCGACCTGGTATACGTCCTTTGACTTCCATCATTAAACGTAACATCTCATTGTTAGTCTTTCCTGGAAACATAATTTGTCCAGTATGTAACTCAAATAGAGTTACACTGCAAGACCACAAATCCACATTGTAATCGTAAGGAACACCTAAAACTAAAACAAATTTCAAACACCAAGATTTTAACTGAAAATAGTTTTGAACGATCCACGATGACTCGGTTATTATGAAAACATGCCCACCAGGTTACAACATCTGCAGAATCAAAGTGTAATAAAAGTCTATCTCATATATTTATTGGGTGAGATGAACAGGCGATTTCAAAAATATGGCTATCATATCTCTACTTGGAAATCTTGGAGCAATCAAAAAGAACACTTTATCAAAATGTATTTCGGATGATTTGGCGAAATGATTGTTAATATTGTACACAAGAGTTGGGTAATGAATCGTTTTTATACTAATTTATGAACACATTGGACAAAGAAACAAACCAACAATTTTACATAGAACGCTATTACCAACCCCAGACGCTACATTTGTTAAGCGATGAGAATAGTAGTAAAGTGAACCCCATATATTATTAGGAGTATTTACTAAGAAATATACTCAAATTGTTTACAAATTTAAGTTAAATGAGAAACAAAAGTACTCTGTAATCATTATCAGCCAAATGTAATAAATATTCGTACAATATGTAAGCCCCTGGATGCCATTAACAATAACTATGAGATAAATATAACTAATCATCACATCTTCACGAAACAGCATCATGGTTAACTGACCGTATATACTACTGAGGGAACTATGGGTACTAAACGAACTAATACTGAAAGCAAATAATTGAATGAGAAGCTGACGAGAAATAACCAGTAATAACATAGTAACCATGTACTGTTCACCTACGGTAAGATTTAGCAAACTTTACTTTCAAAAATACTTAATGGGGGCGTCTGGTGCGTAAAGTCATATATATAAACTCATATATAAAGTGGTAACTATATACAGATGTAATGACATGTTGAGATCTTTTAAACTATATACTCCTTTAAGATAAAATACACGATACGAACTCATAATGCCTGAATGGTGGCTTTTATTCACAAAACATAACCGTATTCGCTTCGGAAAACCCATCAAGTATTACGATGTTGGCATCACAAGTCAGTAGCGATATACCTAAGCTAATTAACCCGATAATCGTGACCACCAGTCATGTGCATAGACGACGAAGGAAGGAGTCAAGCAGATTCATGATAAAATCATATAAACCGGGAATCCTACCAGTTTGAACTAAATAAGAAAATAAAATGTTTTAAAAAACGTAAAATTCACTAAGGAGCGCATAAGAAAGATTACCCTCGCTAAAGGTAGCAAGAAGACAGCCCCACTAGTATCGTCACAATACTCCATATCTTGACCACGATTATTGAATAGCAAGTTCATGGTGGCGACTGATTTCCATTGGCTGATATAACGCCGAATACGCAAAAAATGCAGAAAGTAGAAAAATGTCAGTATTCAATTTTAAAAAAATCAAAGGTAGTATTAAAAAGCATGTTACAAAATACCATATAACAAGAAACTTACTTATTTCTGGAGCACGATAAAAACGTGAAACAAGATAAGGCGTGATATCATTATCCTGTATAGTAGATGCTGATCCGAAATCAGACAACTTAAGCAAGATTTTGTTTTCATTTACAAGTATGTTATCAGGCTTGATGTCCGCATGCAAAATACCACACTTGCGCATCAGCTTCAAAGCCAACAGAAGCTGCTGAGTGTATGAGCGTATAGCAGCAATATGCAGCCCAATATTACGTCCATACTTTTTCAGAACCTCGCGAAGATTAAGACTCATCAACTCGAATACCATGCATAGATGATTTTTATGAAAAAAGTGACGATAAAGTCGCAGGCAATGAAAACGATCTTGCGGGTCAGCATCGTTGAGTTTTTTAAGAACTTCTAATTCCCTTAGACCTGATTTGTGCCTAAAAATAGGAGCAGATTTAAGCAAATAAAGTGAAACAACACGATTATCAGCGTACTACCAAAGGACCTCAGCAACTACACTATATTATTACTTATGCAATAAATACTGGTATGGTAAATTCAGATTACAATTATTGTATATTACATAAAAACCAATAGGTAAGGTAAAAGTTTTAACTTACATTACATCGTTGTTTCTTATTATCTTGATTGCCACCTCTAAATTGCCCCGAGCACTATCCCTCGCCCTAACAACGTTAGAAAACACTCCGTGACCAGTATATCCGTAAACAGCATAACGCTTATCCAAAACTTCCCCAATCCGAACACCTGGACATTAAAAACTATTTGTATAATATTCATCATAATACGTAAAATCTATATATGCTGTCACCTAGAAATACTTATTATTTCAATTATTCATGAACATAGACCCGAGTTCGGAGATTTTGTCATGATATTGCAAACATATCCATATTAAGATATGGATAAGCTAATCATGATCCAGCTCTTACATTTAAAAAATGCAGCTTAAGTTTAACACAAAGTCCTAAGTGGTTTACGTAAGATTGTTTTATGAACAGAAACTAAGAAAATGGATAGCGGAAAAGCTATAAATTGAAAAACTTACGGTAATAACCTTCAGCATCGTCCCAATTGTCAGATAGGGCATGATTTTCGGAGGCCATAGCTCCCAATGCCATTGTCCCCGGAGCATGATGCAGCTCAACTTCGAATTCCTCAGCAAACATATCAAATGTAGAGGGTTTGGAATTGTTTTGTCCAGAGATATTTGGGTCATTTCTTTTTTTATCTTGAAGTGCCATTGCGGCTGGAGCTTGAACACCTGATAGGCGACCACTTGGTGAGATAGGTTGGTCTAAAAGGATAAAATGGAAAATCAAGTTAAGCGAAACAAACTAAATGTGCTTTTAAACTGTGGCGGACATAAAGAAGTACTAAATAGTTTGTAGTCTACATACTTGAAATGGATGTGAGTTAATGAAGCTAATTTCAATACGGAAATAGACTGGAGTTGATACCAACACTTATTTTAACCTCTTAATCCAATTTAAAGACAATCGAATCTGTATCTAGCCAAATAAACAAACTGCTACTTGTGCGACTATACTTTTAGCAAAAATGGAACACTATCGAAAGGCATACTATATATATGAGTGACTTCAATTCAATCATACTAAGTCTTTACTAACTGAATAAAGAAAATTTTGCGGACTGAACCAGTGAATAGTGCGAACGCAGCGACCAGTAATAACTGGTAATTTACTTTCAGTGTAATGAATTCTTAGGATCGGTCTTACCCACCTGAGGTACTAGTTGGAGCCATTTTGATGCATTCTAACTTAGCCTGGACAAACCTTTCGAAATCGAAGTCCTCGGTGTCCTCAAACGTGACCATATCCGTCAAACTGTCTGCCTGAATAACTTGAGGATTGTGATCGCTTTCGAGTTTATTGGTTGGAGCTTCTCCTTGACTTCCAACCTCTAACTTCTTGAATTAAAAAAAAACAACAGAGAGTTAAACTTATTATATACTAACTTCTAGTAACTTTTGTCTTTCGATACGTCTTCGCCTGATAATCTCTTCCTCATCTTCCTCGTTTTCAACTAGTACTAAAGACTTGTCTCTGTACAAAAATAAGGAAAGGTTGTGAGTTACTCATTGCCTGAGATGTATTTATGATTATCTTCGAAATGTCTCTTAGTCTTGTGAGATTTCTTTTCATGATGAGATCGTTTAGTTTCATGATGTGTATCACAGCTGGGACTACGGTGTTTAGACTTTTTGCGACGACGGATATAGTCTTCTTGTTGATCGTATGACTTTGGATATCTATTTCGGTAGTAGTTATCATCGTATTTATCTACATGTCCCGAGTGGTTGCTGGATTCTTGATAATAATAACTGGGACCATAATGATATTCTGATTCCTCTCGATGGGAACGACGTTTTCGATGCTTCTCTTCGCGGTGATCTTTCATTGAAAGCATTGGTAATCTGAAAAGAAAAATTACTTAACTAGGTCAGTAAAAGTTGTTCATATAAATAAAAATTATAACGCTAAAATCTCTTACTATGAAATCTGTTAATTATTTAACATAGCATTTCAGTCAGCAATTCATAGATAAACTACATATGTACAGAACTTATCTGAAATGAACGAAGTTATAGTACAGCCTTCCATGGTTTCAATCCGACTTGTAGCCACAATATCCGATCATGGAAACAACACTGATTTTATCTGCTTATGCACAAATCTGGTACAACTAAGCATTAAATGGGATGCGCAACACGAGTACATTAGAACAAAGAAAAGGACGAAATAAGTATACGATGACAGAATAGAGTAGGAAATAAAATTAGGAACCAGGAACCTTCCTCTGCTTCAGCGAGTTGCCCTATTGTATGTGAAAGATAACCAACGCAAGATCCCTATTGGTTCTTATTATTTGTCTTCAGCAACTGAGTTCCACCAACTCTGATTTCAGCTAGCGTGTAGTGATGGACAAAAGAATGTCAACCTAATACTGCTTTCCTCGAGACCAAGAGGTCAACGCATAAGCTAATCATTACTCCGTTCTTATCACTCTTTCTGGTGTCAGAAAATAATCTATTGTGCTGAAGTTGCTGTAATGACATTTGCGACAAATACCCAAGCCACCATGACTGAAGCATCATGATGGCGACACTACCCCCAATTATCTTTATTTTGCCCATTAACAAATTACTGAATCTCAGCGCCAACATGGTTATGCCACTCGATGTCCCCAAATACCCTGGTCAGAAGTAGGAGGAATGTAATTTCCTCGAAACCCTCTCATATGCCTATGTGTTTATTACCATTTCCAAATGACTGATTATCTCGGTGTGTGTTGCTTAAGGAAATGAAATGAGGAGCAAACGTCCAGTGTTTCAGCCGAATTGGCTGATACAGACGATCTGCCCGGAGCTGAAAAACCTTGATTCCAAACCAATGGAGCACATGAGCTCCAGGATCATAAGGGATCGTATGACAGATTCAAGCATACAATTTTACCCAAAGAATCGTAGGCAGACCTGATATCGAGACAAATGATTCTACATGAATTTAACAGCGGTGTGTGCTACTATTATGCCGTAATTTACTTAATTCCAGTAATTCGATTGATACAGAGATAGAAAAAGACCTAACCTGGCTGACTCTTCCATTGTCAAAACAGGCACAAAATCGTAGTGAGTGACATGCACTAAAACAAATTATAAGTAAACTCTTCTTAAGAACACCTGATTCAATAAGATTAGTTTTCTGTCTCTATAAATTATTTATCACGAGTAAGCTGGGATTGTGTAGATAATTTATTTTTGTATTCGTAAGCACGTTTGAAGTTTTAATAACTGTAAACTTTCGTTGCTTGCATGCATCATGAAATTTTGCGAATATTATGTTCCATTTAACAAATCGTTGGCTCGTTAGTATGCTTGGTTTGAATTAAAAATATAATTCCTGATCAAATAGTATGTTATAGCGATCTTAGTTGTCGTTTTCTTAAAAGATACGTATCAACGATTATCATAATTTAGTCATAGTTACATCCCACATAGATTCCACAAATGGTGAAACCATGAAAAGGACAAACACCTGATAGGATAAGTATAAGTGGTATACATCTCTTCATCATACTATAGCAACCAATATACACGAAACTGATGTCATAACGAATACCACTGCCATTTTAACTACTATATCATATTTCTATGCATTGCTGACATTTGCAATCCTAATCCTGTGTGCATTTTTATTGTTCGCATATTGTTTACTCATTTCCATTACAATGACCATTGCAGCTTACATACTTATTTTCTTGTCATACCTCACGAATCTTCTATTTCTGTCTTTCCTAAAGCGTTGGATACTCATTTGTACCCGTGCCCATCTTTTAGGCTAGTAACTCTGCATTATTATTCTCTAGACTTGAGGGCATTTTTCAGTTCATAAAATTACCAGTCAAGCAATAAACTTCATTTAAGCACATTTCGTACTACCGAATAATATGGTAGGACAAGTGAGCGATATCATACATAAACAAGATGCAGATTCTCCATCCGATATTATGAAGACAAAAGTCGTTGAAGCTACTTTTTTATCTGACCACCGGGCGATCTGATAAGCGTTTAGCTAATATAGAATTGGGTTACAACATATTTCCATAATTGATTAGATGGTGATTTCGTGAATAGATAAGTCGAAAATTACCCTTTTTATCAGTTATGACCAAGGTAATTTCATGAGAAATCTGACCAACTTTAGCACATGATGATGAAGATGTTGATTTAGATAGACTCGCAGAAATAACAGACAGATTAAGTGAGAGTGAAAGAACACGGACGGCATCGAGGAAAAGCATCACTACAAACGATCAACGTGTTTGTTTGCAGTAAACAGTGGATGTACTTATGAGCCAAGTATCTCAGTAACATATGCAGTAAACACCATAGCGAATGTTTTGAAACAGATCTATGAGTAGTCCCCAATGACGCAGTACCTTCAGTCATGTCAACATTTTCTGATGTCACGAAAACCTTGTTAAGGCAGCTAATATTATGTAAAAACAAAGGTAAATAGAAAGGGGACTTGATAACGGATGATCGTTGGTAGCTACTCTCATCAGAGCTTCCAAGACAATCGTATTCTTTGTATCACATATACGTACCCTTGTGTGATTCCCTGTATACGGATTTGATGAGTCACCCAGTTCGTTATAAACGACCTGTAATTTTAAATATTCATGAAAGTGCTCCACAATGGATTACAACCAAAGTATCACCTGTATTTGCACTCCCCAGACGTTCAGGCTTCACGGGTTCTGTACTTACCAAGGTTTGATCTAGCGAGATGAGAGATTTAGGTACATGCGCCTAACATAAGTGTTAGAAATTTTCCGAAATTCAACGTCATACAAGCATTCCACCACTTTCCGCTTCACCCTGATTAGATTCCGAAAACCATAATTATTACTCAAACAGGGTTGCACGAGTTTGTCCGTAAGCCTTTCAGTACTTCATTTTACACGTAACCCTCAATTTATACTGGGCAAAAACAACGTAAGGGGCTCAGTCAAGGATACCAAAAGGACCATGTTTAGGCTGGAGTTATACGCTAGATATCCTTGCTTACAACAGAAATATGTCTTTCCCCCTAATCATCCATTACTGAGTACTTAATTGTTCTTCAACCATCCCAACAAAAGGTACTCGAACATCAGTACCATTATATTCCCATGTGCCAAAATCCTCTTCGTTGGTTAGTCTCACGTGGTCTGGGACACTTAAAGGAAGTCTGTTAGTCCGTACACTGCCCCAACTTTTTTTCTTTTAAGGGAAGTGATCCATGGTGTCATTGAAAAAGAATGAAGATAATTCTGCACTGAAAAGTTTCTTTTCGACAATATCATTCACCCAAGCTATACAGCCGAGTTTAAAGTTGATGTAAAAAATAGTCTGTTGAAAGATAGGAGGACAATGACATCAAACCATGTGTCTAAGAAAGTTGCTAATTATTCAACAGTTGGAGAGAGATAGTAGGATGAGATCAAATGTGAGGAGCATAATAATCCATTTGATGAGTATTAGGAGAGTGGAGAATAGATCAAAAACATGGTAATGAAAACTAACAACGAAAATTAAAATGAAGGGGAGTAAAAATCACTACGGTGGTGTGAAACAATCAAATAACTGTTTATAAAAATTAGGTGCCAGGGTAATGAAAGAGTGGTTGCGGGCACGTATCTATTTTCCGCAGTGCGTGTTATAAATAATGGATCGCTAGAGCCTCCACTAAGCATAACATATCAGTTATGCTCCTTTCGAACAAGCCGTTTGACTGAGCAGATGATTTTAAAGGACATATTAAGTTGGGCCATATGACCAGTACTCGCTGTTGGGGATGTTAAACCCCCAGAACTTAATGGTAGATGCCATATTTTCGCAATTCTATTTTAAAAGTTTAAATTTCTTGTTTTCGCTCCAAAACACCCATTCTCTTCCTCATGCAGTATTTCCCCCACTTGGGAGGATCTTAAACGCCATTGGTTCGTTGTATCTTTTTGTATGTTATTTTGTAGCGTTTTAATGCTGCATATATATGCTTGAATTATGCTTATTGTCGTGGTTGTTCTTGCTTCATACTGCTTGTGGAATAGATTTCCATCTTCGAATTTGGACTTCCCTCTCCAGTTAGCTGTGCTGGGACGCGTCGGAATAGCTGGCTTATCTGTCATGGTGTCACACAATGTTTGTTCCATTCTCGGATTAGGTGAACTCGTAATCTCTCCAAACACAGCACTTTCAAGAATTCCAAATATTTAAATGCTAGTTCATTCAAATTTGCCTTCTGAAAGTGACGCTGTATTATGTTTAAAGATGCGATTATGAAGCTCCCTCTAATTGCGGTCTACGTATTTATTTATTGTGAAATAACGTTTTTGCATCCCCAAATTTCTTATTCTTATCACATAACGACTGGGATCACTCTCATGTTTATTAGAATTAGGTCTCTAGAGTCATCCTTTTGATATTTTGGCCTGTTAACATCGAAAGTTAACTTATAGCAATTTGGGTTGATTGGTTAAAAGTTGGCCGCAAACATCTTAGTAGTGTCAAAACATTATAGCTAAAGTATTTATTCACTCCCTTATTTTGTATAGGCATTATGGTTCCTATTATTTTACACGAATGATGACAAACTCTTCATGTTTGCAAAAGATAACTTCGCGCTCGAAATGTTCTGTTCTTCGATCTAAATAGAGACCTATTCCATACTAATCTGGTTCCTTCTGTAGATCAACGAGGGGTATCCAACTGCACAAAGGCTCTACCATGTACAGAAAGATTTCACTAATTAAACGTGATGTTCTTATTCTCAGAGTTCATTGCAAGTGCCCAATGCATCACCATGTAAGTAAACAAGTATGACGCATCAAAAATTTAATCACAAGAATCCATTAAAAAGGCTGCTATTAGACGAGAAGATCTGACTGATTAATAAGGGCCAAGAGAATCATCTCACAGTATCGATTTGGGTCAGAATTCGGCTACAGGACTGTAGGTAGACAGTGGACATATCTATTTGTTAAAGCTCCCAGGCGCAATGGTGAAAAATTGTTATCTTGTCGATTTGGAGAAGGGCTTAGTTCCCTTTGTACAAACTTTCACGATCATCATTGAGAACACATGTTTAACCTGCCGATACGCATAAAAAATCAATCGCTTCACACAGTAAAATTGCCGCGGCCGAAGTGTGAGTGGATCCATTCACCGAGTTTTTGTTATGCCAGACGTGACTATCCCTATCATTGGCATAGATTTTCTAGAAGTAGAAACCATTCTTTAGTCTAAGGAGACGAGAGTCAGTTGATCAAAACACCTAACTATCTGTTTGCGTAAAGCCATTTTTGACTGAAAAATATGATTTCTCCGAGTCAGAAATCACAACGGCTTGTCCGTCTAGCCAATACTTAATGAGTGATTGATGTCATGTCAGTGAGCGTAGATGATCTGATCCATAAACCAACCATGACGATTGTATTTAACACACACCTACGATGAAAAATTCATATTAAGACGTAGGATGGAATTGTCAAAAAATAGACTTGGGTTATAAGCTCAGATTTTGAAGACTGATGACGACCTTCCAACAGTAAAATTTACCCACCCTAAGTAAATGGATTTTGGTTCAATCCATTTGTACTGAGAACAGTTTTATTACCTGCTATTGCAGAAATATATTATTATTATTATGAACCTTTTTACCTCATGATCAATGATACGTTTTGAGATCTTGATTTGTGTATGCATATGTTGACGACAGTTATGTCATTAATCCGGTTAGAGAGACAACTCCAAGATCTATGCTAAGTATTCGAATTACTCCAGAAACATGAAATGACTATGAACTTACGAAAAACCAAAGTAGCATCGAATCACTAAATTTGTTTGAAGATAATATTGTTACTTGAGGTGTTAGGTTATCAGAAAAAGATAATGGCTATGCTGAATGACCTGTAATGGACAATCATCAAGTAACCCTTAACTTTAAACAGGTTTGGAAGTTGTGGTGGCGTTGGCCACAACCATACAATCCTCGAAGCTGAAAGTGAGACAGCTGGGAAGATATATATTCAACACTAAACATGAAGAGAGGGCCAACAATTGTGAGATTATATATATATATATATATATATATATATATA